TATTAATGTGCTGCTTTTCTGAATGCTTTATTACCACATTAGAAGCCTAAGTTTGCAATTGGAAACAGCTGCTGTTTGGCTTACTCACTTTCTATTTCCTGAACCAAAGTAAGCACTATGTTCTAACAGAATCTCAAGCTTTTGAAAAACATATCAGTTTTCATGAACTGTGAGACCAAGAGTTCTCCGCTAATTCAAGTTTCAATGATACTTTTGCCTGAGAAAGTGTAGCAGAACTGCTTCACAATGCCCAGAAACAGCTGCCTCCTACTTAGTAGGGCTTTTTTGATCCCAGTTTATTTTGTCGTGGGAGAAAAAAAAAAGTGACTATTAGATATAAACCAAACACATTCAATCACCTAGAAGCATAATCTAACAATTAGTCACAAACATTAATGTTGGGTAAAGCATGTCACATTTATGCCCTCAAGGATGCGGTGCTCGTATAGTTCGCATCATTAGAAAAGCACATCTACATGTGGTAACTATTGTGCAGGGAAAGTCTGGGAAAGTCTAGAACCAATTTAACATTAAAAAAAAAAAAAAAAGAAAACCCTAATCTACATTGGGTTGTCATGGGATTGCCACAGGTATAAAGACAGTTTTTCCTCCCACTACCAATCTGGCTGTGTTGTTTGCCGCTGCACTAAATATTGAGGCTGATCCTGAGGCATCTTAGCAGACTTCTAGTGCATGGCAGTAAACTGGAAGGCATGAATTCCTCTATGAACAACAGAAAATCAGCTGGGAACAAGACAGAAAAACTGCTAATGAACAAGGACAAGCTGCAAGCAAGTTCTTTGGAAACAGGTACAGCTTGCTTATCTTCAAGTTATTATTTCCAGTCTTCAGAAAACTCAGACATAATGAGTTGTACTCGGAATATATGTTTTATAGTGCTTTTGCAGTGACAATATACCCTTTCTGCCTTGAAATGAGATTTGCAAAATACAAAAAGGCAGCAGTTATCAAAACACATTGCTATGTTTTTCTTATTTCCAAACACCAAGTAACATTTACATTATGAGCAAGGAAACCAAAACAGGCAACCAATCACAAAGGAGAGCTGGAAACAGCAAATACATAGAAAGCTCAGAAATGCAGAAGTTCATCCTAGTGTTTACCCACATTGTAATGCTTCAAGAAGACTGAACACTTGAACACAAGTTGAACAGCCTCTGCCAGCCTAACTGTTTGATATTGCGTTGGCCCTGTGACAAAGACAGTCCATACAGGAACACTGGCACTGTTTTCTGATCAAAGCAAGCCCTAATAGCATTAAACGTGAGCAGTCTGACATGTTTTCCTCCCTCAACCATCACTTCTCTACATTGCCACCAGCTTTTCCTTGAGCTGCTGCAGTATGACAATCTGCTATTTTAAAGCATGGTCAGACTTCTATTTCAGATTATACAAATTTTCAAATCTATTCTGCTAGATAAGGAGACAGGAGGTTGTGAGTATATTATAGCAGTGCAGAAAAGGTTGTTTTCAGCGTATGGTTACACACAGTTCCTGTTGGTTTCAATGATATTGCAAGTAGGAGAGGAAGTAGGAGAGCTTTAGCAATTTTTGAATTAAGTTTTTGTGCAGCATAATAGTTAAGTGTGTCTTTAAAACTAAGCATATGCTTTGTGGTTTTTTTATAAAGGACAGACATGGAGCAAGTGTGGCTATAGCAGACACAAATGGGTTGCCCCAGTAACCCATGGAGGCGGCCTGCACAGGGTGAGATGCTGCACATTTTTTTAGTTCTGCCCATGAATACTTGTATTTGCTTTCACAGATAGTAAAAGGGTCTTATAACTTCAAATAAAAGTAAAACTGATTAGATATTATGAAGTAAAATATCAAATGCTCTGGAAAATATAGCTTCATTGATGGCAACTGAAGCAGAATAGAGTTAATTAACTTCATAACTTGACTCTCAGTTTGCTAGCGTTAGCTTCCCTGCTCAGATGTGACATATAACCCATCAAAGAGCACTTTACAGAGCACTTACAGAGAGCTAAGGGCTTATTCACTTATGTTGCTTCACAAGCTCATTTTGTCCACTGCAATCACTGTTACAGCTGCAATTCAAATTTCTCTTTTGTTGACTTTGATTGCAATTAGATATGATGCCAACCAGAGTGAACACAAGAAAATACACCAGTCAATGATACTACAGGCTGGATATTAGCTCCTGCAGTCTTATCTACCACCTGTCTTTAAATCATTTAGTGTGGTCTAGCAGTGTCTCCTTGGAAGCAAGGAAGCCAAGCAGACTTTTCATACAGTTTTGGAGTAGCTGTCATGGGTTTAAAAAGACTTAGCCTTAGTAGATATTCTATCCTCACTTTATAGCATATGGACCTGACCTAAATCAGTGAAGACAGATTCTTGTCAAAGTGTAGTAGACATCAGGGGTGGATAAGAAGACTTAGGAGAAAACAACTATTTTAGACATTTGTAGAGCACCATTCAAACTGAATTTATTGTGAAGTTCTGAAATGTCCAAAGACATTTTACTGCCTTCTGGTTTCCAGATGGGTCTGTATCCAGAACACCAGAATACCACAAAAATGCTGCTTTTTTCCCCTGCTGCAATCAGAAGCAGCTGCAACAGAAGATTATAGAAAAGTCTGATTCTTAGAAAATGCCTGTCTCTGTTTTACAAAACAAAAGTAGCTTAAATATTTGAGTAAACTTTGCAGGGTATCCAAACATTTAGAATTTCAATAGGACATACATTTCAAATCCTAGCAAGGATATCTTTCACTACGTGTTTGCTCCAAATGAGGGAATTGGGAGTATTCTCCATGTAAAATTCAAGATACAGGATTCTAGTATAGCCCAGCTATAATTTAATAGGTGGCTTTAACAGTATCACTCACATTTTCTGCTGCTCAGTTTCCCCATTGATACAGGGAATCATGCTTTTAAGGTGATTTGTTGAAGTGTCAAGTTAACAACCTTACTATTAGTATTATTTTACTGATTACAACCATATTCAGTGATGAATTTAACATTTTTGGAGGCAAACTGTTATTCAGAATCCCACTGAATCATATTCAAAATCCAATAACTGACTAGCATTTTGGGCTTTAACCAGCAAGCTGTCAAGAGCCGCCAGGATTAGGTATGAAAGATGAAGGTATGCAATAATTGCAGAAGCTGTACAGCCCTTACAAGACCAAGACCACAAGGAATTTTGTTACTGTAAAGATACTGTCTGCCTTTCCAATTTGGTTTTGCAGTCCTTGTATTCAGCAGATTTACACAGCTACATGTGCATACTGCATGTTCAAAACACTTGTCCGTATCAAGCATACTATATGGAAAGATGCATGCACATGCTCATGGATAAACCACGTGATGAGGTACAGAAAAATGAAGGTGCTTTTAAAGATTTTCTTTTAATCTGACTTTTTATAAATTTAATAAACAAGATAAGATTATAATTTAACCAAAGAATACCTTCATTGCTATTAATTCCTAGTATTTAGTAAGAGGGGGCAATATCTAAATAAATAAGTAAGTGAAGGTGAGTACTAACTCTTGGGCTTATATGGAAGTTGCCCGATACTTGCAGCAATTCTAACTCACAATAAAAATGATTTATTTAAAGATTTATTACGAACATTGCAGGAAAGGAGATAACAGACATGCACCTCTGTTTACAGTAAAATTTCCTGTAAATTAAAAAGAGTTCTTATTCTCTGTTTGGTTTTGATTTGGTGTTGTACCAAGTATCTGTTTATAAAAGGAAATATGACAGTACAAAGTGTACAAAGTAAATTGCAAAATAGATCAACAGTCAAGGTGAACTTGCTTTAAATTAAGTCGTAGCAACACAGAGGCTCCAGATCTCATTAAGGCAAAGAAACTCAGTCTAAGGCAGATCTTTCATGCACCATTACTGAAAGCTGAACTGCCTGAAATGCAGGCCAGAAAGCTACTCGCCAAACTAGGATTGGTGTTAGCCCCTCAGCAAAAGCATCAGTCACTCTCAGCGTCAGAATATAACCTTAGTGATATGCCATGCTTGAACCTCCCTAATCTGTGTGCTGTGCTGCAATGATCTCAGCCCCAAGAGCAGGGCTCTCTAAAGGGTTCTTTCTGCACATTTCTGAGAAAGTTCAGCTACTGGAGACCATCAGCACAGTGCAGTAAGTGGAGATCCTGATAGAGTTATGATGGTTTTATTTTACTGAGGTACCAGTGCATACAGTAATGACCTTAGACACACACTAGTGAAAAAAAGCCTGAACTGCTTCTAAAAAAAAGCTTCAGATGATGAAGAGATAAGGTAGGGAAAAATGTTGCAGAGCACTACAAATAAAAGTTTGGTATAAAGCAGGTAGCATGTTTCAAAGGGACTATATCTTGAGGGCTTTTTCCTGTAATCAATTTTTCTGAGCTTTCTTGCTTATAATACTCTCTAAATAGCTTATTAGAGTCTTTCTGAAGTCACATTTACGTTGCAACCTCAAATTGTCCCATCCTGCGGCAAATCTTCTGGGAGGAGTGTTGGATGAAGATAGTGTATTCACAGTTAAAAAGGAATAATGAAACCAATCATCACGTTTCATTAGAAAACTAGAAAGCAACTTGTTGTGCAGAAGCAATTCCCATAGCTGAATTAGCCCTGGAGCCACCCTGGTATCTCTAGAGACTGGAGAAGCAGGACTAGAACTTCATAGACCTCCAAAGTACCCTGCCAGGGTAAGAAAATGTTCATGTACGGAAGTGCTGGATCTGGGTCATATTAATTCCCCATGTACATACAATGAAAGATTTACATGGAGGATAAAATCCTGAAATTATTGACATTACCTGGAGGCCAGAAGTTACATGTCTTTATGGGGTTTACTGCAAACAGTTCTAAGATCCATTATTTGATATTAAGTGCTATGAAATTAATGCTGGATTTTTAAAACCATGTAGTTACTAAGACCAATTTGCAGACAAGCCTGTGTATACAAGTTCAATGGTTTAGAAGGTATGTTGGCACTTACCCGGGGGCACATGTTCATTCATGATGACGAGTGATGCTGGTGTTGGCCGCCTTTTCCTGATCTGTAACAGGCATAAAACAAGAAGAGTCATTAGGGTGCAGTTATGCCCACAAAGCAAAATAAAAAATCCATTTGGTGTCCTCCTGATTATAGACCAGGTGAAGTTAGAAAATATTTTAAGAACAGCAGCACATCACTGTCTTACTGACTGCTTGTCTGGACTGACAGTGATCAGAGTCATGCTGCTGCTTGTGCAATAGAAAACAAAGGCATGGTGAGGAGCTTTCCAAAATACCTTTAGGATTTGCAGTCATCTTGAATAAGGTTTTGGACATGTATTGCTGACATATATCAGTCATAACTTAAAATATTGCCATTTAGCGTCGAGTCAGGAAAATTATTGCGGTACTTTGTGTGCTTATGTGCACAAATACCTTGTCCTGTCATAGCTCTCACAAGTAATCATTAATAATACTGTTTTGTGAGTACACTTGAGAAATGATATTGTGTGTATGCCCTCCAATGAATTTATAATATTTCTAAACTGTGGCCAGAGGTGTTGCTATTGTTCTCTAACTAAAGAAAAGCAATACTTAAGACTTTCAAAAGAATATTTTCAGAGCACAATACAACTGATCTTTCATATCAATATATAATCCTGAAGTGTATGCAATTCTTATTCAGAGTTTATTTGGTTAAGTACTTTTGTTCCATTAACAGTCCTTGAACTACATGATACTGGACTACCCTCCTATAATGCATACATTTGCATTGAAAGCTTTGTGTTGCTCTGCTAAAGCATTCAAGCTATTGATATTCTATAGAATTTAAGAGAGGGACCGAGAGTATTTAAACTAGAAACCATTCTGACACAAAACCTCAATGTCAGGGCGTTTGTTCTGTTTTAATTGCTGAGCCAACATCTGTATTTAGCTGGGTTCAAATTTTGCTTTCAGAGGTGTAAATGGAAAATTACATCATCAGGGTTAATGGTCTTATTCCAGATTAGCGTAACTGTAGCTGACAGCAAAATTTACTACTTTAATATCATCACATACCCGCAGTGAAACTCTATAGCACTTGGAACCAAACTCACAACAGAAAAAAAGGACTGCCCATAAATGCAGGTCAGAATTTGGGCCACAACATTTCAAAAATATGGGAATTCTGGGAAATCCTAATCCAATGGTTCTCACAGATTTCAGAAAAATATCAGAACGCATCCTGCTTGAATTCATTGCAGGACTGTTACAAAATGCACAGACATTTTGCAGAAGTACCTATGGACAAATGAAGATCTACAACAATTCTCTCCCGCACCCTTCTAGTATTTCTTTATTCAGTGGTCACTCACAACTCATTTTCTAGTAAAGGTGGCTGCCTTTTAAGACACATGAGATCAGAATATTCAGGAAACCAGATACCTGTCCTAAAGCTGCAAATAATTTCATAGCTAATGACACAGAACTGTCAAGGTTATAACATTCCCCTGCTATCGTCTAAAAGTAGACTCACCAAAATAGAAGCAAATGTTGAGAAGGACTTGGAATGAGAGAAATATATGGGGTCACCTAATTACAGTTTATCCAGCTTTTCTCGTAAGATTCCCTGTGTCCTTCTGTATGTGCATCATTGTATGTACTCAATAATACATATATTTTCCTCCTTAAATGTCTGTATTGGCATATATATGTATGTGTATGTTTTGGAAGCAAGTCAAAAGCTAAAATAGCACACACATAACTTTAACACTGACATAAGTCAGGTGTATTTCTATACCTATATATTTTTCACTATGCAAAACCCTGTAATAATGACACAAAGAAGACCGTATAAAAATCATGGGGAATACAGGAGGTAACTGAAGGTAACTATTGCGCAAAATATAAACTGTATTTTCTCATGTTAAAATGAATGGTAAATAAGCTGTCTCCGGCACAATATTTCCATTAAGTACCTATTATCAGCTTCATGTTTTGCTTTATGTAAAAATAATACACTTCAGTTGATTTGTCGAGAATGTGTATTCATGTGAAGCGTATGTAACAGGATACAATTCCAGTTACAGAAAAGGCACAACATATATACTGAAAAATACTGCCCAATGTAAAGAAGCCTTATTCTGGACAGAGGACATATCCCCCTCCCTTTTTGGTATATCCAGACATCGCTATAGCTTCCAGATCATTTGAACTATAGTTACACTAATGTGAGTTAGAAAAGCATTTAGGCCACAAGTATTACCTGTTCTCACCACACACTTGCCACCATTCCTACCCCATTCCCTCAAAACAGAAAAAGAAACTAATCTTCCTTACCTGCTCAGCTGCCTCAGGATCTATTTGACTCTGAAACAGTGGCACAGCGAACTGTATTTTTTTAGGGCTGTTGGGCTCCATTATGATGCTGAGGTGAGTCAGAGAAGAGAAGAGCCGAGAGCTTGAGACTTGGTCTGCACCTCTCCCTGGGCACCCTCCCCACAGCCAGGCTGCGTGCTCCTCAGTAACAGCTGCAACTCCCAACTTAGCACGGGAATCTGTGTGAGCCGAGCAGCTCCCTTATTCCACATCCACAGAGATGCCACTGGCTTGGCTATTTTCTTTTCTTCCCCCTCTCCCCTCTCTTCTGCAGTCCTTCAGATCCTCTCAGCACAAAGCTGAAAGGAACAATAAGGTAATTGTGTACCAGTTCACTTCTACATATGCCAAGCATTCACTCAGAAGCTAATTGAAAATGCAATACTAGCATTGCATGGCCTGGAGCCCTGGGATTTGAAAAAGAGGATCTCTCCATCGTACATTACTAACTGGCTGCTCAGAAGTGCAATGCAAGCTCCCTCTGAGTATTGCTGATGGGCTCTTAATTATTGATGAACACAAATCAGGAAGTTTTCAGATTTTGGGGGTGGAGGTAGCAGGAGGGGTGGATGCAATAATTCCATCTCTGTTCCACTGTGCCAGAACAGCTCTCCTCTTCTCACATATCACACATTTGCCTTTGCTCTTTCAAGTCCTTTCCTAAACCTCTTACAGGAAGATTTTTGGTAGTGATGCTACACTGATGCCTACACTTCCATGAAGCTCATCTGGTGTGCTAAGTAGGTTTGCACTTCAGGCTGGGTTTGCAGATTTAGAGAGTGATTTCTTCTGGTGGGCTCCATCGCACGTGACTTCAGATGCTGAGAACATCCACATTTACACTAGCTATCTGGGGTCCCTCATACTAGGCACATCAAATGACATTTCTCCCTGTTCTCATTAAGTGGAATGTAGTGTTTACTGTAGATAACATTTTCTCCCTATTAACCCTAGAAAAAGTGAAGTTACCTCAGACTAGTTACCTCACTTCTAGATGGCTAAAACTCAGAGGGTCAAATCCTACTTCAGGCTACAAAATCTGTGCCTTCTTCCAATACCAGGAAAAGAATTTGGTCAATCATACCAATAGCATCCTTTGGTGAATATAATTGATTTGCACTTTTCATTTCATCTTAATTCAAAAGACGTGTACGAAAAGATACACAGTGACCACTGACTTCACCTATCTCGTTCCTTAGAGCACCTGACCACTGCCAAGCAGCAGAGCTCCTGTGACAAAGGTGTGCTTAATGCCAAAACTGCAACCCTGGATGGAAAATGCCCTACAGCCAGTTCAAAAGGCTATGCTGAAAGCTTAGGTCTAAGCTGAAGAGCATTGGACCAATCTCCTGTTACACACTACCGCCAGCTGGGAAGAAAGAGACAATGAGGTACAGCAGGACCAGCTCACTGCAGAATCAGCTTTAGCTGGGATGAGGCTAACTGCAGAGAGAAAGTGCATTTTGGTCAGGTTTTTGGAGGGCCTGTGAACTCTCACCAGGGAAAGGAAATACGACCAACCAGAACAAAGAGCAAACATGAAATTCACAGAAAGGAGTAACAACTTGACTCTGCCTCTGACAGACTGCACTGGGAAACAGAAGCAACTGAATTCAGAGCTGAGGCTGGACATCACCAAAACTCAAGGGATTTGAAAATGTGTTTCTTGATCACCAAAAGGACTAAAGATTTTCACAGTTCATCACAGGTTTATTCAGTCACTGAGTATTTTCCCACCAGTGCCATTGGAGGAGGCAGGGAAGGAGTGGGGATCATGGTTAAGAATAATAACAAGCTGCACAGAGCAGAACAAACTAGCAAGTCAGGGATGGAATATTTGTTTGGCTTTGATTTATACAAACGAAAACACATATTGGAATACCCGGGTATTTCTGAACAGAGGCAAGCACACCAGCTAGTTTGTTTATGAAGAACCTGGTAAAGCTCAGGAGGTGAGAATACACTAAAAGATAAACAGCCAGCTGACTCAATGATCAAAAATAACTCTCAGTGAGGGCTGAAATTTCCCTCCTCCAAATCAAAACTACTGTGTACCATAGTGGTTTCCAGCTGTTGGCTAGTAGCTGGCATTTTTCCTGTTAGATTTGTTGCGATCACTTAGGTGGCATTAACTTAGAATTATAGAAACCCAGAAAAGTCCTGCTTGGGGGGGACTTTTGGAGATACCTGGTCCCACCTGCTTCTCAAAGCAGGGCCCAAGATCAGGTTATTTTGGGTCTTCAGGCTGAGTCCTGAATATTTCCAGTACTAAGGTGAAATACTCAGTTTCATTTACCACAACAAAGGAAAGAGAAGCACAAAATGGTGATGTTCAATGTTTCATACAAACATTTTTAAGCCTTCACTTTTTGTACAAAGACAAATCATAGTTTGCTGTATAGTCTTCCACAGACATGGCCAGAGTGCAACTGCAGCAGTTCTGCTGGTACAGCTGAGAGTCCATGAAACTAAAGTAAGAGAGGCACATGCCACTTTCACTAAGGACAATTAGAGAGTTGTTTTCAGGACAGTCCAATTATCCAATTTCACAAGTCCTTCATAAACAGACATGCCATTAACTTCAGTGACAGCTTCAGACATAGCAGGTATACGCAAGGATACAGCCGGGGGGACAATATACACACAGGGATCTAAAGTTGTGGCTTTTCTCTGATAAATTTTCATACTTGAAAGAAAATATTTTTTTATTTTCTCAGTCCCAGATAAGGTGAGAAAAATGTTTTCCAGCCGCTTTGTTATTACAAGTTAATAAACAGTACATTTTAAATATCATGTTTCTCTATGAAAAAATGTTTGCCATCAAGTATCTATTGCAGCTGTCTGTGAAATCTTGTGCATTAAATTATACTACAATTACAGTGTATGTTACTGTATATAGGAGCTATATATATATACTGTATATATAGGAGCTATAATTTGCATTATGAAGGCTTGCAATTTTTTATGTTAATGATAAACTCAGATGAAAAACCATGTCCAGCTTGTAAAAAAAAAATTAAAATATTAAATGCTCAAAGGGTTATAACAGTGTGTTTCAGCTCCAGATTGCTGGACATTGCTGCCTAAAAGAATCATGTCTCAAAGTCATTGCTAGCAATGGTATCTGAGAAAAAAACTCAACAATCATATGAAGAAATAAACCAACAAAAACACTTGGCAGGTTCAGAAGGGAGCCAGACTACGGGATGGGACAGGACAAGACACAAGGGCAAATCCTTAGCGGGGCTGCTATGTCTCAGATAGACTCACCAATGATGTGATGAGATATTTGCCTCTGCACCTCTCCTCTCTCTGCCTATTTGGAGCTGGCTGCCCAGCAAACTTCACATGCACTGTAACAATAAAAGTGTTTTTAAAATAGTATAAGAGGCATATTTCAGAAAGCACTTGGATATAGCATTTCAGGATTACTACATCAGCTCACTCTTACACCTAATTTGCAGCACTGGATGTCTCCGGGCAAAGTGTGCTTGCATTTTCTATAGACTGCATCATAGTCTGGGGAAGAGCTGAAATGCATTTAAGTACTGCCAAATCCTTTCAGCTCATCTTCTGTTTTTAGTGCACTCCCCACAATGTTTCAAATTCCTTCATGATTCAGCTAAAACTATCATGGAAGAAAAAAATAATAGTAACTGTCTAAGATCTTTCCTTCCTATGTCATTCACTAGGTTCTGGTATGAAGCACTGCCTTTTAACATATCCTACTGGAATGACAAGCTACCAGCATATTCACAGCACAGATCCTGCTTGAGATATTTTCCCTGTCATATGGGAAGAGGTTTATATTTTTTTCCCCAGCCAAAGACAAGGCTGCTGGGAAGGGAATTCAAGGGTCTCTGTCTTGCACGCTCCTTACACAATTTCTATTGTGGCTGTGATCCACTTCAGCTTCCTTGATATGGTCAGGGACTACTGGAGGAGGAGGAGAGGAAGAGAAAGAGAGATGGAGGAGTGGATAGAGAAGGAGGAGAGGAGAGCTGGGGCTCATTGTAAAGCCAACCTGATTAAGGCTTTGGCTCCTAATTTCACCAATTCACATGCAGAGAAACACTCAGTAACAGTTCTCCGATCCACCAGGCTGCCTTTGCAGAGTGAGGACTTGACTTGGAAGTGGCAGTTCTTCCAGTGTATCTCTTTGGACATAACTTTAATCCCTGTTTTAGCTACTGATATGTGACAACCTTTGCAAAGACGTGTTGATTGTACTTTCCTTGGGCTTTCTGGCTGAGACCTCTTGCATCTCCTCAGTGCACTGCTAGGCAGCCCCAGCAGCATCAGGGGAAGAAATGATGCAGACTACATTGCTCCCTGGCTGCTGCTCACTGGCTTTCCACTATAGCCAAAGGGGACTTTAGCATGGCCCTTCCTTCCACCCTTTTCTAACAAACTGACAAACAAGTTTTTTCACAGCTCTTGGTGTTGGTCGTGGGCAGAAGGGAGGTAGAAAGCATGAACACTGGACGTGATCTTTGCTGCGTACACCACACCTGTTCCTAGGTTTTCCTCTTGGGGGTCTACACTGGGAATTGCTCATAGGTGCTAAGTTCAGACACAAGCCTTCTAAGAATAAACAATGACATATTCAAAACAACCTTGAAAGTTTCCTTTCAAAATAGTTAAATATAGGCATTGCAGTCTGCGTGGCTCCCACCGAACCACTGGAAACACAATCTGCTGTTTATATGCAGAAAATGTGAAGAATTTAAAATCTGCAAGGGTGGGAGAATATAGAGCAGACCACATCTGCCTCATGAGCAGCAAATGCTGCCACAGGAAGGTCAAGAAGAGCAACAGAAAGTCTTGCTGAGCAGCAACAGAGTTGGTAGGACATTCAGTGAGAGCTGTTGGCCTAGCAACAGCGTAACCCAAATATCCATTGCCAGTACTTGTCCATTGAACACCAGGCCTGGACATGCTTACGTATTAACTACGCACATGGATTCATAAAGCCTAGATAAGTGAAAAATACAGCTATTTCTATGATCTCTTTAGCTGAGATAATTTATTCTCAGTATAAT